TTTTCAGCTTCAGCAGATTCTGCTTGGCAGAGCGGTTGGCGTTGCGTTTGATAGATCTTTAACATCCAAAGTGGATATTTAAGATCTTGGAAGCAACACATCTCTCAAAATAAGAAGAAAGATAGAGGGAGTGTTGTTCCAGAGAAGGTGTATGGTCTAATACTGAAAAATACGAGATTTCCACCATAGACCTTCTCTACTGCCGAGATTCTCACCATAGACCTTAAAAGTATTTTCTTCTCAATAGACTTCTTCCATTGCCGTCTTTGAGGGTGAGAAAGAAAAATTTCTCCATTGAGGATATTTTTCTTGGTGTGTTCCTTAGACAGTGAGTTTGGGGACTTTTCATATTGAGAGAGTTGTTTGTGATGGAAATGGATTGAGATATCTTGATTTAAATAGGAGAAGAGAATGTTCACGGGTTCCATTAAGTGGGTAGTTGGAACGGTGAGGGTAAAGGAGTTTCAACTTCCAAGAAGTTGAAAAGTAAAAGGAATCTTTTACCAGTTACCAAAGAATTGAAACTGTTTTAATTTGAAAATCAGTTTCGATTGGTTTGAGAAACGTAACTGTTTTAGTTTGGCTAAGCCCAAAAGAGTGGCCTAAAAAGAAAAGAAAGCTATGTACTAAAGGGAAATTATTCCTATTGGGTTCTCAAGGCCCAAAATAAGACTATCATTTTTCATTCCCTATAGTTCTAATTTCTACTTAGGACGAGGTAGCACCAAAACAAATATGACTATTTAAAAGAAAAGTGGTACTATTTTTCCAAAGTCCTGTACATTTTTAAACATCCTAGGGACCAGTACTTTTAGAGCTCGTTGGAAATGAATTAAGGAGGCAGATTTTGTAAAGTACCTGAATCGGAGATTTCCAATTTTAGTACCAAAACTGAGATATCCGTCTTCCATTGCTTTGAGCTTATCAATAATTCATTGCCAAAAACAATTGTTAGCCAAAACTAGGTAAGTTCCCCCTGAATTACATTCACTCTGAATGTATGCGCTTCAGAAAAATAATTAAGACAAAATCATACTTGAGATAAGCATAATCAAGCATAATAAGCGCAATTAAGGCATACTTAAGCAATGTTTAAACCAATCAAGCAATGTTTAAACAAGAAGGTGTTTTCATCAAAACAAATGTTTTCACATACTTTCCCCCTGGTTTGATGAAAAGAACCTTCAGTTCCTTTTGCGTTTTGAAGATCCGGCAACCTCACTGATGCCCTGCATGTTCCCACACAGTTCTTTGATGCGCCTTAAATTTTCACGCCTTTCCTCTGATTGAGCAGCATCTGAGAAGTGGTCAGCAACTGCACCTATAAATTCTGTTCCATCCAGTCCTGAGCTGGATAGGTGCTGTGCTGAGTTTTCCGGATTTCTTTGCTGTGCTTCAAGGATCAGATTAGTCATGTTCAGATGAGAAGGGA